GTTTGTCCAGAGGACCTGACTTAACTTTATTAAATAAAGGCTGTTTATCCTGATGCATGCTCAATAATCCAGGTAGAAAGATCTAAAAAAGTTCAATCTGGTCCTCTGGACATTCAAAAAGCAAAAAACAAAACAAAGCAAAAAATCTAGAAACGTTTCGTCTCTCATCCGAGAGACTTCCTCAGTCTGAGGTGCTGTATTCAGCTCAGTCTTATAAATAGCACCTTCTTAGAGTGGATCAACCAGTTTGCGGTCTACACTCATCTCCAGGCCAGCAGTCACTCTTTCAGGGATGAAGATGTTCACATCCTGGACAGAGAGGAACGATGGTTTGAGAGAGGAGTAAAGGAGGCCATCTTTGTGAAAAGAAACCGTCCATCATTAAACAGGGGTGGAGCCTCCAGGTTCAACTGTCCCCCTCTTACAATGCTGTGATTGCTAGTATCACTCAGCCCTCTGTGAGTAGTAAACAGCCATCAGGTGCTAATGATCCATTGTTAGGCTGATGGTCCTTCTTGAGCATGTGATCAGCTGGTTTTGGTTGTCAGCAGCAAAACTGGTTGATCCACTCTGAGAAGGTGCTATTTAAGAGACTGAGCTGAATACAGCACCTCAGACTGAGGAAGTCTCTCGGATGAGAGACGAAACGTTTCTAGATTTTTTGCTTTGTTTTGTTTTTTGTTTTTTTGAGTGTCCAGAGGACCAGATTGAACTTTTTTAGATAAAGTCTGTTATTTTCCCTGATGTAAGACTGCTCACCCTCCTGACACTGAACAGCATACACAATATTGCTCTGTTTGTGCCGGGGTGCTGGATCTTTGGGATGAACCAGTCTTTGCGCAAGCAAGAAGGCGACAGTGGAAAGGGAAAAACTCTCTGCCACTCCAGATTTCCTCATCCAATACCACACCTCCTCCCTCTGTACCTTGTCAGATGCTTTTTCTAAATCCACAAAGACACAGTGAAGTTCTATCTGACCTTCTCTGTACTTCTCCATCAGCATCCTGAAATCAAAGATGGAATCTGTGGTGCTCTTTCTTGGCATGAAACCATACTCCCTCATGAGGAAGAAACCTTTAGCAGAACCATCTCAGGACGAGCAGCCATCAAGGGTGACTCGCCTGATTGATGATCTTAGGCTTTGTGTGAGAGCAGTTAGCACAGCACCAACGGGTCAGGTAGCTCAAAGCAAACACCTAAAATAAAGCGTAGAACCAACAAATGACCAGCACACGATACTAACAAGGAGTTAAAGAGCAGCAAAAAACAGTTTATAGTAAGTGGGAATCACGTAAAGTGTTTAAAGCTGTTAGATTTTCTCTGTGTAGAGCAGAGCGTATTTAAAAGTGACCCCTCCCAAGCAAACCAGAACCAGAAGCCAACTACTCACTCCAACTACGTCCATGTCCTCTCTAACTGCATCCATATTTCTCCTCTCTTTGTCCTGCAGCTGCATTTCTAACATCCTTCTACCAACATAACCGCTGTCCCTCCTCTGGACATGTCCAACCCACTGTCCCTCCTCTGGACATGTCCAACCCACTGTCCCTCCTCTGGACATGTCCAAACTACTGTCCCTCCTCTGGACATGTCCAAACCACTGTCCCTCCTCTGGACATGTCCAACTCACTGTCCCTCCTCTGGACATGTCCAACCCACTGTCCCTCCTCTGGA